TTGCAGAGTACCTCCGTCTTGGAAAAATCTATTTCGTGTGAGCCCACAGCGTTAAAACAATGATCAGCAACGGCAGAGGTATTGGTCCTACCGTGTTTCAGATCTGCCTTGTGTTCACGAAGGCAGTCTGAGACATGTCGTTTCGTTTCCCCCATGTAACTGCTGCCACAACCACAACTCAGTTTGTAGACACCAGAGTATTGCATGTCAGGAATCACATCCTTTACAGATGGGATTAAATCATGGATTTTGTGTACTGTGTTGAAACGAACCTGAATCCTGTGTTTGTTTAAGATTTTGGAAATATTTTTGGTAACCCCTGCTATGTATGGCAAAGTGATGGTTTTGGTTGGATCCTCAGAAGGTTGTCTCCCCATGGCTGGGGAGACAGCTTTGTGGATTGTACGGTCCGAGTATCCGTTCATCCTGAGGGCTTGGTGTACGTGCTCCAACTCATGAGCTAGGTGGTGCTGGTCGGAGATGCAACGGGCCCTATGGTGTAGTGTTTTGATGAGAGAATTCTTCTGGGCTGGATGGTGGTGGGAGTCAGGCTTTAGATAGACATCCGTGTGGGTGGCTTTCCTGTAGACCGAATGTCCCAACAAGCCATCAGGTCTCTTCTCGATCAAAACATCTTTCAAAATATGTATGATACCATAACACGCCAGGACAATGATGCTGACATGCTGAATGGTCAGTACGCTGGAATTAAAATCCAGGGGTTGTCGGTTGGATCTCCCGGCACGATTCCCCTGCCACTGTCCACCCAGGACTATAAATGGGAACACCACCGTTGGTCGGCAGGTCACGTGTGGTGGGATAAGTATGGGTACCTCCAAATAACTGCTTGAGGTGCTCTCTAGAGCTCCTTTTAGTGGAGATCTTTCCTCCAGCAGTGGGCATGAGCAAGTGCTTGTAGGGCTGCACATTTACATGTTTACAAGCATGAACTCCGACCCGAAATCTACGAATAAAAGACCCCTTCTGGATTTCACCATTGCTGCATACGCAACACAAATTCAGTTCAATGAAATCTCGTGGAACTGTAGACAAAACCGGAGAAGATACATTGGGTTCTATGTAATTTGACTTACTGTATTGGGTTATAATTCTACTTATTTAACGGGATTATATCGTAATTGCACTTACTGCATTGGGATATAATTGGTCAGATTACATTAAAATATTCATTGCATTCATTTAAATAACGGTAATCGATATATCGCTAATGTAAATGTAATGACCCGACTCCCACGGCCTTCGATTTATATCTTGAGAAATATGAAGTTGATGGAATAGCGAAACAGGCGAATATACATAACTCTGCACACCCATTAGGATATTTTATACGTGAACAGAAATCAGAGGGCAACAGTGGATTTAGTAAGACGTCAAAATTGACAATGCTAGCAATTCACGCAACACAAAATAAAGTTTATTCGTAAATCACAGCTGGTCGCTGACGGAGAGCAAGATCAATCGCATTGGCTTATATAGACAAAATCATGGAACTCGCGGAGGAATGTAATGCAGATACTTTTAGAAAAAAATATCGCATCCCACTGTACGTTGGGATGGTGTTCCAGATGTTCACATTGGAGTAACCACTTCTGTCCGCACCATGGAAATAAACTCACTGAAGCAAATGGAATAACTGGATATCATCAACGTAGCAGAAGATCTCTTTACTAAGTGCGTACACAATTTAATTACCTGAGTCCTTTAATTACGTCTCAGTCATGCCGATATTCACAGATGGTTGACACGTGCTGTAGACTTACATTAAGAATTAAAGACCCATTTGGCCTCACGTCACACACGTCTCGTTTACGCAAATCACTGGGTAAAATGGACAATTCAGATGAGCGCCAACTACGTAAACAAGCTCGCTTAAGCTGTTTTCAATTGACCATATAATATTCTTGGTTCTTTCGGTAAAGTCACGTAGAAGGGAAATAATAAAATAATTAAAATAAAACAATACAATTCTCTCGACGTTTCGATTGCAACACAACCAAGAATATGAATCCCTGCAGTCACGAAAGCTCTAAATCGAAATTTGACCATATAATGTCCATCCCATCCTAGAAAAGACAAATTAATATGTTTTAACTCTGAACGTGGAGTATTTGATTCAGCAGAGACTGATGCAGTCATCCAAGCTCTCACAAACCTCGGCGTTAAATCAAAAATGATAACATAGAAATGATCCATAGTAGAGTTTGTGTTGGGTTAGATCGCGTTAGGGGACGTCCATAAATGACGTCACGCGATTTTGGACGATTTTTGACCCCCCCCTCGTCACATGGCGTCACAAAAAGTCAGACCCCCTCCTCATATATGACGTCACAAAGCTCTGCCCCCCCCCCCCGCCCCAAAAAAAAACATGCTTCAAATCGATCTAGATTTGAAGTTTTCGCAGGGATCCATACTCTTTGGTTCTTACGCTGTGGTTGTCCCACCTGATGACGGACGCTTGTGTTGCGCCCGAAACGTCGTGATTAAATGTATTATATATTTTTTTATACCTACGTGACTTTACCGAAATAACTAAAGAGTATGCTTCAAATCGCTTTAAACTATTGTCATTGTAGTGCGTGCTTAATGTGCCGCTGCACTCTGTTGTAGGAGAAAACATTTTTTAAAAAGTCTATTTAATTAAGTAGAACGTGTTGGCTATATTTATTTAAAGTTGCGCATTTTGAGGTGACGTCGCATTTCTCAAACTCCCCCCCCCCGTCACACATCGTCACAAATGTCTGACCCCCCCCCCCCCAGGTGCTTGACGTCATTTATGGACGGCCCCTAAATATATAAATGTGTCATTAAACCGGCCACCACCCGACACAGCCAATGAGTGAGGTTGTGTCAGGTAAAAAGAACACGCCAATTCGTCACTAGTACAGCACACCGGTGTGTTGGAGAGCCAAGCCACAACATTTACAAACCGAGTACGACGTTTCGCCAGTAATTACAACTAGCTTCATCAGGCGACAGCCAGCTTTGTGAAGAAGTCCTCCTATTTCGTTCCTTAAATAGAGGCGTAAATGTGATGGCATCACTTGTGAGCCCTTCTTAAGCAAAGTGGGTGGGATTTATGAATGCGTATTAATGGGATTCCATAAAATATAATTTGCAAACATTGTACTCTATAATTTTAAAATCTAACTAGCAACATTGATAGGATGTTATTTACTCATTGGCTTTTTCGGTAAAGTCACGTATGTAGAAATACCACAAAATCATACCAAAACAAATCAATCACGACGTTTCGACCGCAACACAAGCGATCCTCATCAGGTGTAAAAAAACAAATAGCACATAGGGTGACATCAACGCAACACATAGAGAGCGTTAAACTGCACGGAGGTAAATACAACAAGAAGATGAGAGACGAGAATTCAACAAACCTAAGAAAAAAATTACGTGATGCAAAACCAGTCAGGCCAACAACACAGTTAGACACTTGCCTGGCGGACCACGAATTTCAGAAGAGTGCTAAATTTCGTATTCATCCTCTGGATCGAACATACCAGCATAGACAGAGTGAACAAATACGAGGTACAAGTCAGAATATATACATATACAGAGACACCAAAGAGGCAAGGAGGGAGGAAAGACGGACAGAGGAGCAAGGAAAAAATAAGAAAAACGGCCGGAGGGATGAACAGACAGAGGCCTTAAATACAAAAAAGAGAGGTGGGGGGGAGGGGCCGAAGAGAACAGGGCTGTACGGCAGCACAGGCGGGGGGAGGGGTGGGACAAAGCAAGGGCCACAACATGTCCCCCCCCCCCAAAAAAAACCAATGTTATTTGTAGCTGCTATAACTCGCGACATTTGATCGTATCGTAGCACAAATGCTGTCACGATTCTACTGGTGAGACTGTAAAACGAAGTTGTTAAAAGTGGCTCTGCCTGTCGCGCGCGTGGTGGCGGGGAGGAGGGTCCCGGGGGAGAGGGGCGTGGAAGGGGGATGGGGAGGGGCCCCACTGGGGGTGGGGAGGGGCCCCACTGGGGGGTGGGAGGGGCCCCACTGGGGGGTGGTGAGGGGCCTCACTGGGGGGTGGGGAGGGGCCCCACTGGGGGGTGGGAGGGGCCCCACTGGGGGGTGGGAGGGGCCCCACTGGGGGGTGGTGAGGGGCCCCACTGGGGGGTGGTGAGGGGCCCCACTGGGGGGTGGGAGGGGCCCCACTGGGGGGTGGTGAGGGGCCCCACTGGGGGGTGGGGAGGGGCCCCACTGGGAGGTGGGAGGGGCCCCACTGGGAGGTGGGGAGGGGCCCCACTGGGGGGTGGGAGGGGCCCCACTGGGGGCTGGGGAGGGGCCCCACTGGGGGCTGGGGAGGGGCCCCACTGGGAGGTGGGAGGGTCCCGCTGGAGGGGTGGGAGGGGCATCCAGGGAAGGACTCCTCGTGAGGGGGGGCCCAGGGAGGGGCCCCTGGGGGGGGGGGTGGCTGGTGAGGGGCCCCGGGGTGGGAGGGATCCCGTGGGGAGGAGAGGCCCCGGAGGGTGGAAGGGGAGGGGCCCCGCGGGGGGGGTGGGAGGGGCCCCGTGTGGAGGTGGGAGGGGCCCCGTGTGGAGGTGAGAAGGGGAGGGGCCCCGCGTGGAGGTGGGAGGGGCCCCGGGGTGGAAGGGGAGGGGCCCCGGGGTGGAAGGGGAGGGGCCCCGCGGGGGGGGGTGGGAGGGGCCCCGTGTGGAGGTGGGAGGGGCCCCGTGTGGAGGTGGGAGGGGCCCCGTGTGGAGGTGGGAGGGGCCCCGTGTGGAGGTGGGAGGGGCCCCGTGTGGAGGTGGGAGGGGCCCCGCGTTGAGGTGGGGAGGGGCCCCGCGTGGAGGTGGGGAGGGGCCCCGCGTGGAGGTGAGAAGGGGAGGGGCCCCGCGTGGAGGTGAGAAGGGGAGGGGCCCCGCGGGGGGCTGGCGAGGGACCCCGGTGGGGGGGGGCGGGGTTCACACCGCCAGGGCTCACGCGCGCACCGTGGCACGGCGCTTCACCGCCGCGTCCGAGATGAGCGTTCGTCGTGCCGCCGGGGCTCGCAGCGGGGTCGCCTCGATGACGGTCGGAGCCCGGCTCCCCGCGGGTCGGGGGGCTAGGGGCCGGGCGGCTCCCGCAAGCGGCGGCCAGGTGGGAGCGCGGGGGCCCGGGGGCGCAGAGGGCGCAGAGGTTCCCCGGGCGCAGGGTGAGAGACCGGCGACTCCGGCGAGGCGTGGGGAAGTGGAGGAGAGTTTGGAGCCGGGGACGCGGGGCTTGGGCCGGGATCTGGGAAGCGGAGCTCAGCTCGGCTTCGCCACCCTGCCGGGCGAATTGCTCCGGGTAAGGGCGCGGCGGGTTGGGGGTGCGGGTTGGGGGTGCGGGTTGGGGGTGCGGGTTGCCGAGAGGGTGACCCAGGGCACAGTGTGAGTAGTGAGTGTGTGCAGTGTGAGTAGTGAGTAGTGAGTGTGCAGTGTGAGTAGTGAGTGTGTACAGTGTGAGTAGTGAGTGTGAGTAGTGAGTGTGTGTGCAGTGTGAGTAGTGAGTGTGTACAGTGTGAGTAGTGAGTGTGTGTGCAGTGTGAGTAGTGAGTGTGTGTGTGCAGTGTGAGTAGTGAGTGTGCAGTGTGAGTAGTGTGTGTGTGCAGTGTGAGTAGTGAGTGTGCAGTGTGAGTAGTGAGTGTGTGTGCAGTGTGAGTAGTGAGTGTGTGTGCAGTGTGAGTAGTGAGTGTGTGCAGTATGAGTAGTGAGTGTGTGCAGTGTGAGTAGTGAGTGTGCAGTGTGAGTAGTGTGTGTGTGCAGTGTGAGTAGTGAGTGTGTGCAGTGTGAGTAGTGAGTGTGCAGTGTGAGTAGTGAGTGTGTGCAGTCTGAGTAGTGAGTGTGTGCAGTCTGAGTAGTGAGTGTGCAGTGTGAGTAGTGTGTGTGTGCAGTCTGAGTAGTGAGTGTGTGCAGTCTGAGTAGTGAGTATGCAGTGTGAGTAGTGAGTGTGTGCAGTGTGAGTAGTGTGTGTGCAGTGTGAGTAGTGTGTGTGTGCAGTGTGAGTAGTGTGTGTGTGCAGTGTGAGTAGTGTGTGTGTGCAGTGTGAGTAGTGAGTGTGTGCAGTGTGAGTAGTGAGTATGCAGTGTGAGTAGTGTGTGTGTGCAGTGTGAGTAGTGAGTGTGCAGTGTGAGTAGTGTGTGTGTGCAGTGTGAGTAGTGTGTGTGTGCAGTGTGAGTAGTGAGTGTGCAGTGTGAGTAGTGTGTGTGTGCAGTGTGAGTAGTGTGTGTGTGCAGTGTGAGTAGTGAGTGTGCAGTGTGAGTAGTGTGTGTGTGCAGTGTGAGTAGTGAGTGTGTGCAGTGTGAGTAGTGAGTTTGTGCAGTGTGAGTGAGTAGTGAGTGTGTGCAGTGTGAGTGAGTAGTGAGTGTGTGCAGTGTGAGTAGTGTGTGCAGTGTGAGGGTGCAGTGTGAGTAGTGAGTGTGCAGTGTGAGTGAGTAGTGAGTGTGTGCAGTGTGAGTAGTGAGTGTGTGCAGTATGAGTAGTGAGTGTGTGCAGTGTGAGTAGTGAGTGTGCAGTGTGAGTAGTGAGTGTGCAGTGTGAGTAGTGAGTGTGAGTACTGAGTGTGCAATGTGAGTAGTGAGTGTGTGCAGTGTGAGTACTGAGTGTGCAATGTGAGTAGTGTGTGTGTGCAGTGTGAGTACTGAGTGTGCAATGTGAGTAGTGAGTGTGTGCAGTGTGAGTAGTGAGTGTGTGCAGTGTGAGTAGTGAGTGTGCAGGGTGAGTAGTGAGTGTGTGCAGTGTGAGTAGTGAGTGTGTGCAGTGTGAGTAGTGAGTGAGTGCAGTGTGAGTAGTGAGTGTGTAGGATAGTCTCAGTTGCACGTGTGACCTAGGGAATGAGTCTCCCAGTACGTGGTGATTATTGCTATGTATAATCCCATTTTCGTAATTTTGTAGGTCTCATTGAACACACCACGGCCGAATTTACATCTGGGGATCGTTAACGTCCACCGCGAAGCAGACGGCGCTTCGTATTACTACGCTTGTGACACCCGCGGTAATGATAAGGGTGGCCCACTGGATTTGATTTGACTCGTATTCACGTCCAGTACCTGGATCCCACAAATCGTTGCACCAAGGCCGTAATTCAAAGACGCTCAAAATGTCCCCCCCCCCCCCAATATATTGCTATAAAATAGATTTCTGTTTATATGATTGCCGTTTATGGTTGTACTTTATAAATCCCTAATCTCTGCCATTAGATGCAACGAAACAAGGAAAGGTAAACAAAGACAAAACAGAGCAATGTAAATACAATACACTATTAGACATTATTGTTAAAATAAATAAATGAATAGCCCATCCTATGTGTTAGTGAATTTTTATTTAGGCAGGAAATTCGTTTTTAAATTTCGATTTTTTTCTGGGGGGGGGGGGGGGAACCCCACACCCACTGGAAGATTCCCCCCCCCCCCCAATCTTGACTCAATTGCTACGGACTTGCATTGCACACACACACACACGCGTGCTGTCAAACTTGCCTACACGCGGCAGGTGCGTGATGTCTCGTGCCCCACGTTTGCCTGCGAGTGCGAGAGGTGGCACACGGGATTCCACGTCTACCAATGCCGTGCCGCTGCGGCTTGTGGGCATGCGAGACGCTGCGGCTTTCGCGATCAGTATTCCACCGTGCAATTTACTGGCAAAACGTCGTACTCGGATTGTAAATGTTGTGGAGTTGCTCTCCGACACACCTGGTGTTGCTGTGCTAGTGACGAATTGGCCACGTTCTGTTCACGTGACAACCCTTGCTAGTTGGCCGTGTCAAGTTGTGGTGGCGGCTTTTTAACGACGCGTTTATATATTGACGCGATCTGACCCAAAAAACAAAGGCTGTGCCTACCACGGGAAACTTGACGACCCGGGGCCGGATGAGCCAATACGGAGCAGCAAGAGGAGGCCGGCGGTGTGCTTTGCCATAGCGCTCCCACGCGCACGGTCCGATTAATCGCAGTGCTTTGTTGCACGTGAAACAGAGGAGTGCGGGTGTCTGCGTGCGACCGCACGAAAGTTTCACGGCTTGGTGACATCATAGCAAAGGGGAACTTTTCCTGGCTGGCGATGTAGCCTCTACGGAGCACACACGCCGAATGCGCTCACATGCAGTAACATTTTGACTGAGAGCTTTCGCGACTGCAGGGATTCATATTCTTCGGGTCTTTCGGTAAAGTCACCACGTAGATACGTTCAAGGAAAAATAACAACAACAAAAACTACGACGTTTCGAGCGCAACACAAGCGGCCGTTTTCAGGAAAAGGCGATCGCTGAAAACGACCGATTGTGTTGCGATCGAAACGTCGTAGTTTTTGTTTTTTAGTTATTTTATTTGAACCTATCTACGTGACTTTACCGCAAGAGCCAATGAATATGTAATGACATTTCGCGTGCCAGGGCAATGGATTGATGCTGTAGGCGATTCAACCGAGCGTATGTGGGATCAGCTTGTGCGGCGAGGCACTGCTATTTCACACGGCTAGGCGTGCCTTCAGCTGCTCGTCAATGGAGGAGGCGTTGGCCCGCTGATGCCCTGCCCCATGAATCTACTGAATACATGATCAGCTTTCAGAACCGCGGACTGTGAAAATGTTGTGTTGTCGAAAATATCGGCAGGGTGAATAGACGTTGAAGTTTCACATGGCTGACCAGCAAGGCAGCTTGCACGTACGTTTGTTTGGTTTCGTTCTCACAGCTGCCTGGTGTAATTGAGTTACCAAAATGTCATCTCAATCTTCTTGAGAATTCAATATAAAATAAGATCCTGTGACATTCGCAAAAATTATAAAATTTTGTAGCCAGTCTGCAGTGTAGCTCAAATATCCAAACACTGACCCTAACACGGAGCCCCTACTCTCTAACGCTGACCCTAACAGAGCACCCACTCTCTAACGCTGACCCTAACACAGAGTCCCTACTCTCTAACACTGACCCTAACACAGCCCCGACTCTCTAACACTGACCCTAACACACAGCCCCTACTCTCTAACGCTGACCCTAACACAGAGCCCCTAGTCTCTAACACTGACCCTAACACACAGCCCCCACTCTCTAACACTGACTCTAACACAGAGCCCCCACTCTCTAACGCTGACCCTAACACACAGCCCCTACTCTCTAACGCTGACCCTAATACACAGAGCCCCCACTCTCTAACGCTGACCCTAACACAGAGCCCCCACTCTCTAACACTGACCCTAATACACAGCCCCTACTCTCTAACGCTGACCCTAACACAGAGCCCCCACTCTCTAACACTGACCCTAACACACAGCCCCCACTCTCTAACACTGACCCTAACACACAGCCCCCACTCTCTAACACTGACCCTAACACAGAGCCTCCACTCTCTAACACTGACTCTAACACACAGCCCCTACTCTCTAACACTGACCCTAACACAGAGCCCCGACTCTCTAACGCTGACCCTAACACAGAGCCCCGACTCTCTAACGCTGACTCTAACACACAGCCCCCACTCTCTAACACTGACTCTAACACACAGCCCCGGCTCTCTAACGTTGACCCTAACACAGAGCCCCTACTCTCTAATGCTGACCCTAACACAGAGCCCCCACTCTCTAACGCTGACCCTAATACACAGAGCCCCCACTCTCTAACACTAACCCTAACACACAGCCCCCACTCTCTTACACTGACCCTAACACACAGCCCCTACTCTCTAACGCTGACCCTAATACAGAGCCCCCATTCTCTAACACTGACTCTAACACACAGCCCCGACTCTCTAACACTGACCCTAACACAGAGCCCCTACTCTCTAACATTGACCTAACACACAGCCCCTACTCTCTAACGCTGACCCTAACACAGAGCCCCTAGTCTCTAACGCTGACCCTAACACAGAGCCCCTACTCTCTAACACTGACCCTAACACAGAGCCCCTACTCTCTAACACTGATCCTAACACACAGCCCCCACTCTCTAACGCTGACCCTAACACAGAGCCCCTACTACACTGACCCTAACACAGAGCCCCTACTCTCTAACGCTGACCCTAACACAGAGCCCCTACTCTCTAACGCTGACCCTAACACAGAGCCCCCACTCTCTAACGCTGACCCTAACACAGAGCCCCCACTCTCTAACACTGACCCTAACACAGAGCCCCTACTCTCTAACGCTGACCCTAACACAGAGCCCCTACTCTCTAACGCTGACCCTAACACAGAGCCCCCACTCTCTAACGCTGACCCTAACACACAGCCCCCACTCTCTAACACTGACCCTAACACAGAGCCCCTAGTCTCTAACGCTGACCCTAACACACAGCCCCCACTCTCTAACACTGACCC